TTTTTTGCCACTATTTCTTCCTTTCTTTGTGTATAAATTTGCCATTGCACCCCACTATCCCTAGACCTTGCGCGGGTCTCACCTTATGTCCTTCTCTCCTGACCGGGGGAGGGCTCGGGTACCGGGCTCTCAGGGCTTGCCTCAGGGAGCTTGCGGATCTGGCCCTCCTCCCTCACGACCAAGACTACCCTCTACGACCGAAAATCATCCATATTCATCCTCATCTCATCCCAAATTCTCATCACGAACATCCAAGAAACTCTCTCACTCAAGACCACCCACCTACAGAATTCAATTCGAGAAAATCGACCCCAGACCTACAATAGACCGTTCACAAATCTTCCAGACTACATTTAAAGACCTAAACGCCCCACTTATCCGGCTAACTGATACCACCACAGGCTTTTACGCTGTCACTGACGACATCTCGGCAATAGACCGACTAACCTCCAAAAAAGCAACCGACGCATTCAAGAAAATTAACTTGGCACCAACCGTCCTTAATTCCTCATCTAAGGCCCAAACGCACAATATTTATAAAACAGCTTGACCGAGATATAGGCAGACGAATCCCGACTGAGATCAAGGACGAAATAACGCGACTGCAAAACTGGACCCACATACACGAAATAGTTAAAATCAAGGATTATATCCACATCATTAAAATAATAACAACCGATACAACAATAGCCCAACGAATCCTTAAAGAAGGTCTTGCAATGTTTAACACCCGTATCACCTCCAGCCAGTGTGAGCAAGAAAAATATACCCACATCCTGATATGCTACAAATGTTACATATTCGAGGATCATCCTACCCACCTATGCACTGCCACCATACCATCCTGCTCAGAGTGTGCAGCTCATGATCACACCTACACGCAATGCCCCAACATGCAAAAGAAATGTTTGAATTGCGGGCTTGACCCCAGAACACTTGCCGCCAACTGCACCTATTCGAAAAAAATAATTCTAGACAAACAGAAAAACATACAGGACCAAGAATTACAAAAGAGCCAAAACACTTACGTCGAAATTCCTAAACTGCAATCAAACAAACGAACATACCCCAGCAAAGTATCACCCTCACCAGCTCCATTCAAATCAAACTCACAGCACTCATCCTAGATCTAGAAGCTCACATAGCCAGCCAGACAGGAGGGGTTCGGCTCAATACTCTCTAAATCTCAAAAAGCAAATTACGACATTGATGCTACTTTCCCCGACCGAGACTCCAGTAAAATCTTCAACTTTTTTTACAACCACGACAAGAACCAACCACAAGAGGACAACACCGATTTTATAATCAGAAACAACTTCATAGATGACGACGACCTCAGAAGATCCTCACTAAATCTGACGCAACAGAATGCAGAGGGTGAAGACGACTCTAGAGAAACTACCTCCATCAACAACATCCCGCAATGACAACCGAGACCCTAAAAAACGGAAAATCAGCGACGAAAGCTATCATGACACAACCATCACTGCACCCGGACTCACAAAACAGATTCAGATCAAACTCTTTAGAAGCGACCAAGACCCCACCACAATACCAGCAGCACCTCGTAACATTTGGTTCATAGAAGAGCTGAAGAAGAAACCCTTGGTATAAAGTTACCGGTGCGCGAGAGAGACTTCGCCCTAACTTTCGGCCTACTAAAACGTTACAATCTTATCCTAGACAGACCTCACATAAACAGCATCCCCCACGACGCTTTCGACGCCATGAGCCGCCACACTACCACAACATCAATCTTTAAGAAATCAAAGGCATCCACTACCAAACATTCTTCCCCAACATGACACTACAGCGTTCAATAAAAATTATCCAACACAGTGTGCAAACTTGGACCAACAAAAAGTTCGCGCTCGCTAATATCTACAACAACATCAACCCTGATATCATTCTGCTGAACGACCATTCCCTCACTAACAGCACTCCTCTGAAAATCGTCAACTACCACCTACACACAACCAATAAAGACAACGCCCAACACGCCGGTGCTGCCATCGCTATCAAGAGTCACATTCCCTACAAGTTACACGACAACTTCCACTCTGATATGCTAGCCGTAACAATAGACACCCTACAAGAACCTGTCACTATTGGAATCATGTACTTCCCTCCCCGAACCGGTTACCTAAACTTCATAGACTTCCACACCCTCCTTAACAGACCGCACCCGGTTTACCTTTTTGCCGATTTGAACGCTAACCATCCCTCGGTGGGAAACTCCAGGTCCAACCTCACAGGCAGACAGCTACACACGCTGATCGCAAAACAAATGCTCTCACATAGGTCCCTACTTCCCCACTCATATCACCCACAAAAGTACGACATCCCCAGATAGAGTAATTCAAAACAACAAAGCATTTCACAATATACATCTCCAACCAGGACCAGTAACACCTTCGGACCATATCCCAATCATCGCCACAATCTCGGCATATCCAATTCAAATTCCAATCCGATCACGTAAATCATTCCATAAAGCAAATTGGACCCTATACAAAGACTTGTTCAAACATCACAAAGTACCCTCGACGCCAGACCCAACGCTAGAAGTAATAGATGAGCATTTAGAAAAATGGACACAGCTAGTACGACATCACACACCGGATAATTCCTGGCATAAAACCGAATCACGAAACACTCCAAATTCAATCTCAATACCAAGCAACCCTTCACCACGTACAAATGCATGGTCCATTAAAACTTCATTCACTACGCTCTCAACTGCAAACTGCCTACCTAAAACTACAAATAAAAACATGGCAAGACCTTATATCAACAGTAGAACTCAAAGAAGACCCATAACAGTTTCGGAAATTCGTCAAAAGAATGACAGGCTCGAACACGAAACAAATAGTCCCATACCTTAAACACAATAACATTAGATTGTATACACCAGAACAAAAAGAACCTGTATTCAGAGAACACATATTTACCGAAACCGATAATGAAGAGTTTGATACTGAACACATTAACACCATCCAAGAACGCATGAATAACATCGCACATCATACCACCCCGTACCACTGGGTACCTTCAAAGACTGCATCCCTTAGATTTTCTCCTATTACCGTTCGAGAACTCCAGCGATCGCTAAAAAACATTCAAACAAAAAGCATCGGGTCCAACGGGTATCACCACACTACAACTAAAACATCTCCCTCGGAACATGCTGCAATTTTTACTCTACATATTCAATCCGTCAATTTCCGCTGGATACTTTCCTGATTCACTGAAGCATGCCATAATGATTTTTAACCCCAAACCAATACATCCCAACACCAAGTAAAAAACTATAGACAATTCTCCCTCCTAGACATAAAAGGAAACCTACTGGACAAAATACTCAACAAAAGATTCTACAACCATCTCGAAACAAACAACCTACTCAACCCCAGACAGCACGGATTCAGAAAACAGAGAGGAACTCACACTGCATTAGCTACACTCTGCGAAACACTCTCTATCAACCTAGCTCAAAAAAACAAAATAGACATAGTCCTCCTTGATGTCACAAAACCATTCGACAGAGTTTGGCATACTGGCCTTGCATATAAAATCGCCCAACTAAGCTTACACCCTTCATTTACGATGACACTGATCGACTATTACAGATAGAACAGCTTCAATTAGAATAGGCACGTATCTAGGGCCCTAATTCCCACTAAACACCGGAGTTCCTCAAGGAGCCTGTCTCTTACCGACACTCAACAGCTACTACACCCACGACATGCCCCCACCTCTACCAAACACCGACTACATTGCATTCGCCGACGACATCACCCAGATTACAGCTGGCAGGCACACACACCGTTCGTAGCTCAACTAACAGAACACGCAATCACACAGATATACACGTTCGAGCAGAAATGGAAGATTGAAACAAACACTTCCAAATTCAAGATAATCCCAATCAGCAGGAAAAACACAACCGACATTTTCATTGACAACAAATTAGGGTTCTAGGGCTCCAAAGGGTCCGCAAGTCACAGCAAGACAGCAGATAGCCAGAAGAAACCTTCAGAAACTTAACAGATTCGCCATCCTCTCCCCCAACCTAAAGTGCAGATTATATATGGCATTTGTACAATCCTCACTTACCTATCCGTCCATACCACTGCACACTCTGTAGCGAACAGCAATCTCCCAACTTCAAAGGATACAAAACAAAGCACTCAGATTCATCACCAACACCCACTGGAGCGACTTTGTCTCGTCAAAAACACTCCACGAACGATGTAACATACCCACAATCAACATCGCCCTACACGAACAAGCGCGGAAAACCTGGAACACAATAGCCACTTACAAACCCGATCTTCTAAACAAACTAACTTCCCACCAGACGCAGTAAACAAGCAACACCAGCAATTTCGAAGCTCCAACATGATGGCATTAGGCCCTAAACCTCCAGCCATCTACAAATAACACCTACCAACACCCCTAAAACTAAACACTACCGATAACCCTGCACCCCACACATTCTCACCAGTTACACGACGGGCTATGCTGCACCTGGGCGACAGTTGTTCCCATCACGGTCAGGTGCGGCTACCCAAAACACCACTCTCATCTCACCACAAAAACACACCAAACAGACGTATCAGACACAGAGAGAGATATACCCTAAGTGAATAGCAAACTTAACAACTTGCACCTCTAAACCACGAGCTACCATTGAATCACCGCATCGCTTCACCACTATCCATTTCCATTTTCCATTTCCGGGCCGTCGATCCCCGTCAGGGACTTGCCTCCCCTATAATCAATTTCTCACTTCCACCACACGCAACTTGATTCTCAACCGCTCATCTGTACCTCTCCATACCGTCATCATTCGTTCCCCACACAGGCTGATACACTGACACCAGTCGCAAACCTCCCAACACCACAGCAGTCACTCTCTCCTCAAACCATCTCTTCTGTCCATCTCTCACCCACACCTCTAACGCCTCACCCCTCAACACCACAGCCGACTTCTTTCCATGTACCACCACTACTCTTTCCTCATCCTCTCCCAGCCACAACACACCCTCATCATCCGCACTTATCTCACTCAACAAAACAATCTCCCACCCTTTCCTCACAATCTTCTCTATCACTCTCCTCAAACACCTCCTATTATGCTCTCTCATCGACAATCTCTGCACATTCCACGTCACAATCACTCTCACCCTCCCTTGCATCCCCTCCACAACCTCATCCTCTCCCCCTCGATCCCTCCTCCTCCTCCTCCTCCGACCCTCGTGACGCCTCCCCCTCCTCTCTTCTCTTCGCCTCTCCCCCCCTCCCCTCCGCCCCCTCCAGTTCCTCGGCCCAGGGTGCGGGTGAATGGACCGGAGTCCAATCACCCTAAGGGCCGCTGCCAGCCTGTCCAAGACGGCTCGCCACCGTCCGGCAGGCACCGATGCGGGCCCCCGAGGGGCCCTCGCCTCGAAAGTTTTTATAGAGGGGTCCGGGGCGGCTACTCCCTTCTTCCTCTGTTGTGAACGGTGGGGGGGTGTTGGCATCTCCCCTTGCGGCTTGATCCCACATTGCCCCCCGCCCCCTGGTGGATCCTTTGCCGCTCCAGGGGCCAACAGCTGCCGGCCCCGGGCGAGTCCCCCTTGCGCCACAGGAGGCGAACCACCGAGCAAGGGCTTCACCACTATCACTTATCATTCATCCGCATCATCTTCATCCATCATCGCGCTGGTCTAGCAACCATACAACGAATTGAAAGCCTAAAACTCCACATGATCCTTCAAAGCCCCGATGGGTTTCTTACTCTCAGACCCGGGAAAAAAACCCCTGTACATAGGGGGACAACCCCCTGGACATAGCAAGAAAAAAAACAAGGGGGGAAACCCCCTGGACATAGCAACCGAATTATGCGCTAAGCGCCTTTTCGCCGTCTACTATCGTTTCCGTTTCCCCTTCTTCTTTCTGGCCACCCTGAGCCACCTCTTGATTTTTTCCCACATTTCCTATTGGCACAGTCACCACCACCATATTTTAAGCGAATAGCTCAGAGGGTGATGGTTGTCCACCACTGAAGGTGGAAATACAATCATCACTTCATACCCTGACTTAAGCTCGAACTGTAACTAGCGGACAACGGACTGCAACCAACCAGCCCAGCTCGCCTGTGGAACTGCATGCATCCTGCCGTGCACCACCAGACGGTTTAGCTCACAACATTTGGGGTTAGGTTTCAGAAAGCATAGTTCTGTTCCAAAATCTATCGTCCTTCGACGAGTGACTTCCGCAGCTTCGCTAAATTACGTAACATATGGCTCACATCATCTGAGGTTGAGTTTCAGATAGCATAGTTCTATTCCAAAATTTATTGCCCTACGACGCATGGCCGTTCGACCGTAGGCTGATTCGACGCACGGGACAGATACGGACGGCTCCGGCGCGCTCCGTCCAGGTGGTGTAATTTTTTTCGCGTATTGGCAGACGATGCTGGGCCATTCTACGTAAGGGTACTTTCCTATGGGCTGATTGATCTAATTCAATGGATGTAATCCGTCTGGTGGCTTGCGGCTGATAATGTTACTGCCAAAAAGTGTTAAATGATATGTTTTTAAACGAAATAAATAACTTTCACTTCCAGGATCAGAGGGATGGATGAGTTTAACTACTGGGAGACGTTACAGCGACTGGGTCTGTACTCACTGCAGAGGAGACGGGCGAGGTATGTCATTCTGTACACATGTAAAAAGATAACCGGAATGGCACCAAACTTCGAAAGCGAGACCTTCAGGATTGAGACATACCATAACGAGAGAAGGGGTAAACTGTGCAGGATCCCCCCACTACGTAACAGATCGGCGGTCAGATTTCAATGCCTGCGGGAAGGATCCCTTTCCGTGGCCGGGCCGAGGTTGTTTAACGTCCTACCAAGGATCTAAGAGAAGGGGGGTTGACGCTGGAGACCTTCAAGAGACGACTGGACGTGTACCTGGGCACAATCCCTGATCGACCGCCCATGCAACACTACCGACGGTGAGAAGTAAGCAACAGTATCGTGCATTAGCTGGCCCAAATGAGGGCGGATGAGCGATAATCGGAGGCGGCGATCCATCGTGGCCTGTGACTGCTACGTACGAAACAATACCAAGGATACCAATTAAGGATACCAAGGATGCCGAGGCTACTTTCCGTACGGCTAGTTCAGATCGATTTAATCAAAGCACTGACGAAGAAATGCAACGCTTTTTTTTCAAATCGGCTGAGTGTAATACTGGTCAGAGTTATGGTTTTTATGGCTCGATTATAGCTGTGTAGTTTTAAGGTTCGAGGAACATCAGGCACACAGCTAAAATATTAAATGGTATATTCTGTTATGATCAGGATTGTACAAAGTGAGGACTAATAAACAATAACGTAAAGAAAAACAATGTACCGTAGTCACCGACTAGAAATTGTTCTCTTTAGAAGATGTTCTCTATAGCGGACAACCGTCTTCAAGTTTCTGCAGTCAATAGCTTACGTCTAATTTAAATTAAAAGTCATGCTCCAGGGAATGACATATGGCGGTAGAGGGTTAAAGCTTCAGCTGCGACACATGACTCATGGCTGCTAAAATAAACACAACCAAATACAATATCTGCAAAACCATCAAACTATTTGATAGCAAAACAATCGTGTACAGAGGCCAAGATAGTTCGCTGACACACGTGTCAACTAAAAGTAATGATGCCGCATGTCATTATCGAAATATAATGGACTCAAAGTTCATTACGTGGCATGTCAATGGATAAAAATCATATTAAGAATGACTATAGCATTGTTCATCAACCGCCATCATTGATGATGGCGGTTGAAAACCATTATAGCTGTGCAAAGAAAAGGTGTAGCGATCATAGAAATTACTGTATAAAATTATTAACATTAGACTCGGCTGAATTTAATTTTTATGTATTATTCACTTGAGACTCGGCAGAATGTAATTTTTATTCATTATTAACTTTTGATTCGGCTGAATATAATTTTTATTTATTGAAAACTTTAGACTCAGTTGCATTTAATTTTTAGGGAACACGGTACAGTGAGCATATATTTAACTTGTCAAATTTCAACATTGGTCTGATCCGGCAGAAAGATCTTGCTTGTGTTGAAGTGCACTAACTACCACAGCGCGGTTAAGCATTCTTCCCAAGCAACGAGCCCGAAACTACCAGAAAATTTAACTTAAGAATGAAATCTGTCCATGTAAGTGTCGCTCAAGCGTTACATCGTAGACGATATTTCTGCATTTTCCAAAATAATTGCGATAACTTGAAAGAATTTCTCCTGATCAAATTAATTATTTTAGCCGCCGCAAAACCACTCGAGAAGTAAATTCCCGGCGAATAAAGAGAGGGCAGTACATATAGCCCATTATTATTATTATCATTCTACGAAGCAGTTATCGCGGCGTCTGGTTCAAACGAAGAGCACGTTTCACATAAGTACAATATAATTTCAAACAAAAACTTGAAAGACACGAGAAAGGATTAGAACGGATAAAAATGACCAAGCACATGATTCATAGGCTCTACGAAATATTTCCGTCTTCGGGCGTCGACGAAACACCTGCAACGAAGGAGCCGATGTTACGCAAGCCGGCAGACTGTTGCAGGTTCTGGCGGCGGAAACCGGGAACGCTCTGTCGCCGACGGTAGATAGAAGTGAAGATGGAACGACGAGGTCTGCTGTTGATGACGAACGCAATCGTCTTCTAGAAGACAGATCCGACACGCGCTGCAAACAATCCGTGTGATAAGGAGGCGCCAGACCATGAAGGCACCACTTTAAAACAACGACCTTGAACTGCGTGCGCTGCTGAATGCGTAGCCATTGAAGATCGAAATATAGGCGTCACATGGTCGAATTTTCGCTTATTGCACACGAACCAGTCGAGCAGCAGCGCTCATTGCGGATTGCAGTTTATTAACTGCCGTGGTCGGAAGTACATAAAGAGAGGCATTACCATAGTTCAATCGGGTCGAGTGTGGCGTCCACTACTAGGGCATCGAAGACCGGCCTCGAAGGACGGCGACTGACGCTACGTATTCGTCGCAGAGCACCAAAACTAGCGGTGGCGACTTTGGCTATGGGGTTTTTCATGAAAAATTCATTCAGAGTCCAGCAGAATGCCGAGGAGGCGAACAAAAGACGCAGGCATGACGAACTCGTTGCCCACATGAACAGGGTTGGCCGGAAACTGATGCTAGCGCCGAGCAGTCGCAAACCAAATAATGTCAGTTTTTGATGCCTTGAGCTAGGGCCGGTTGGAGCGCATCCAGTCAGAGACGGCGTCCATGCGAACAGACATCCGGTCATGCAACGCTGCAGCGTCAGCCGGTGCGCAGTAGCCTTAAATGTGAGTAACGTCAGCGAACATATATGGACTGAAACTATGTGAATCAATTATGTGAAATACGTCGACAGTATATATCAGAATGAGGATCAGGCCGATAACTTATCCCTGAGGTACGCTTCAAGTGACCAACGATGGCGTAGCCCGTAGAAGAAGAGTTCCATGTTCGAATGCATTGGAATCTATTTCTGAGATATGAGTCGAACCAACACAGCTCGGTACCTCGCAGGCCAAATGATAGGTCATGTCGATGCATTAAAGTGGGGTGATCGACCGTGTCAAACGCAGCCGACAGGTCGAGTAAAGCAAGTCGCCGTGATCTGATGCTATCGCCTTTCGCCGAGCAGTCGCTGTCGCCGCTCTAGGCTGAAGGCTGTCGCCGCGGTCTACTGCTCGTAGAATGTATGAAGGCACCTTCAGCACTGCGATTTCCTTCAAGTGGAGATGACGGTATGCAGACTGGAGGCGAGGCATGAAACCGGACTGCTAAAGACGGTTGTTCATCTGTCGGACCACAACTCGTGCTAATAGTTTCGACAAAATAAACACGTTGGAGATGGGTCGATACGGTTTGGGATAAAAAGCGTCATGATCTGTTTTTTTTTTCAATAGAGGCATAATGTAAGCTGATTTGAAGTTTATCCGAACAACACCGTCAGTAAGGCTACGGTTGAAAAGATCGGCCAGAAAAGATGCTATTGTTACGACATGACATTACCCTTAGCCCATATATGACAGGGCTAAAAATCTCCGAAATTACCGTTCCTTCCAATACCGCTAATCATATTTCGGAGCCGTAATAATTTTTTTATCCAGAAGTGTGGGATAAATAATTCCTAGAGCTATCGATCGCCTTAAACATAAATCATGTTGATTCAAAGTAAATTAACAAACATTTTCAAACTTTTCAAGAATGTTAGGAAATATTTTTTCCCGTCTGAAATGTAACGATGACGCATAAATAATACTTTTCAAATAGCATAAATATTCATGTCTCAATTCAAACTTGTTGAAATTAATTTTCAACAAGTTAGTTTCGCTTAGGATGATCACATTGATGTTAATATCATTTGAGCACTTCCCAGTATTGATCATCTTGATCAGCATTATTCCATTTATCGATTCAAAATTTGCTCTAATTGACAATGAATTTTATGTCTCTCATGTTTTCTCGTAGAAACATACAAATATTGCTTCTGTTCAACCACTCTCCTTCCCTTCATTCCAGTTATCATTTTATTCTTAGGCCCTTACGACGTCTCTAAAACATTTCTCTGTCCCCAAATGCATGTTCGTGAAACTTACTTTAAGTTACAGACAGCGATTTGTCCCTCGAAACTAATGCATCACATCTCTGCCACTTAAATGTAGCTATTGTTTCTTGGAACTTTTGTGTTTACTTTCCTTACGAGTACTTTAATTAATAATTTTTTAATAACCTCATGATTTTAATGCACGTTCAACATGGCGAGATTGGGAAACGTGCAACACGACATTTTATCCGTAACAAAAGGGTCAATCAAAACAACATTCATGCAGATAATGTATTGTAAATTATTTCGCCCAAGCTGTCTAAAATTTCCATCGTTGAAGTGTACAGAAACTTTTTCAACCTGTCAGGAGAAGAAAAAATAAGTTCAGAGGTTCGAAGGACAACACCTAACCAATTTTGAAGTGCAAGTAACGCTAAGAACATTATGATGTCTGATTATATATAAGTTTACAATGATTGGTTACACGCTTATTTATTTGAACTTATATTTAAGCCACATTACATTGAACTTGTCGAATTCTAATAAGTTTAAGTGCATCAAATAGAAATTTCTTGACACAAGATATATTATATTACATATATAACATAGTATATATGTATACTGTATATCAGTACGAAGCGAAATGCTTCACTTGTTCAGAAGTATTTCCATTTCACTTTTGTAAATAATAACAATTATTAAAATTATAAGTAAGAATCTGTTGAATTTATTCTTTCACAAATTACAATGAACTTCCGATTAGATAATTTTTACTACACATGGACGCATTGACTGGAGAAAGTTAATTTCACCTAATTATTATTGTCCACCTTCTATTGTCCTGGACAAAAGCGGCAACCTGGAACGCTGTTCATTCCACTCGGTTGTGCATGGTCTGCCGTCTCGCCGATGCATACGGCCTTCTTTAGGAACTGTTGGTGGTAATTCATTTTATCATCAAAAAAGTTCATGGCATGAAGTGATGCTACAGTTGTAGTGGAGAGAAGTGGAAGAATGCTTAGAACTGTAGTGATAACTTGACACAACAATATTCGAAAAAATTTGAGAGAAGTAGAATGATATGTGACACAGATTCACAGGTAATCATGCGTCACATTAGCATCAGAGAAAGAGATTACCAGATCAAAGAAACTTGCAGGATAGTCTTACTTTTCGAAACCTATTCCCACAGGAACTAAAAATAACTTGCATAAGTTTCCACATGCTCTTAAATCATATTATCACTCGGCTTCCAAGTTAACATTTGACATAAATTCAGTTCGAAATAATCTTAACTCATTGTCCTGCTATGAAATAACTTTGTACGTGTCCCGCCTGGGCAAAAAACCTCACTGCGTAGTTGTCGATTTCAGTGCCGCATTTTTTCACACCGAAGTTGAACCGAGAAACGTCGCAGGCAGGCCTGCTGGTGGCGCTAGCCTTGTACAGGGCTAAGATCAAATTGTTGGCGATGGTACCATTTGCCCTCAACTAGAAATAAACGAAGGAGTGCTGTATTCACATTTTATAGGGTATAAACTTCACAATATAATTTAATAACTAATGAAATTGTTTGAAATAAATGATGAAAAGGCATCTGAGTTCATGACAAATGATGAAAAGGCAACATCTTAGCAACATTTCCAAACTTACATAACCAAGTTTTCCCGCTACACATTTCATGAAGGGAGCTGCGAGAACTTCGCACTGGCGTTTGCCGTTAGTGAGGTGGTAGTCTTTGCAGTCAGGATTACCTGGAGAACACGTAAATTGCTACAAATTGTTTTAGATCTCTCATGAATTTAAGATGGTTCCACTCACTATTCCAATGTACGTCTCTAAATAATACCAATAATTAAAAATAAAAAGACTAAAACTCAGTTTTGAAAATAAAAAAATATTATTTGGATGAATTGCCCATAGATTAGTGCAGTGGTAGAAAAATTCAGTTCAACCAACTGATGGTAATAAATCTTGCAATATCTAACCTTTGAGGGCAGTCAAGGCTGCAAGTCCCAGTGGATCCGCCTTGCAGGTGAGCTGGGCAGTTTTCAGGTCTGCGTTCTTCAACATGGTGACTATGGCCTCTTTGCACCCAATGGTACTGGGGTTGAGAAATGAATACAAATATGAACACCAGGTGAGGAACATCAAGAGATGAACATTCTCCATTTTCGTCAGGCAAACAAGATATATCCATAGCTATATGCAACATTGTCGCAACTTTTGCAGCATTGAGTTGTAGTGGCTGTACAAAATTAGAGCACAAAGAAATATCATGTAATAATTTAGGATAAAGGTGAACAGGAGGGGAGAGCAAAGCGTCCGAATGTAATTGCTGAGTTCACTTACTTTTCAACACTGGAGTAGGCAAAGGTTGCGATGAGAAGAAGGACAAAACCGACAGATTTCATCATGTTGGTAGTCGTAAAGGCTTCAGCAAGAGGCTAATGCAAAACGCTTCGTGAACGAAAGGCTGCTAGAAGTCTTGTGACTTGGTACGATACATGGTCACCCTTTATAGCTTTATGATATTATTTAAACAGTTGGTTTCATTTGTCAAATGCCTACAGTTCTCTAGCAGAGATCATCCATCACCACATCTAATGGCATCTCGCTCCACAATGAAATGTTTAAGTGCAGATTTAACTGATTTTTAGGAAAATTTTAACTTTCTGGTTGAAAAAATTAAAAAAATATAAAATAAAATAGAAATATAAGCGAATGAGATAGAATTATGTTAAATTTTCTCATTTTTTCCATGGAAAGGTATTTGCTAGAAGAAACTCAATTTGTATTGGAGCAAAATTTTTTCATTTCACGCGTTTGTATATCTGATATGAAGACCATATCCTCGGTGTGCAGCGTTGGTTTAGGTGGAGTGGTGAACTCTTAAACAGATGCTCCGTATTTGCAAAGACGTCAAAGCTGATGATGTGATTGATGACTTTAGATCACAAATGATCACATTTGAGTTTGTTTAGCTGAACTTGCACCTCGACATGATTATTCTAGATTGTACGGGGACAGCGTTGTCGATGTAATTTATGAGCTACTCCATGACTCGATTCCACATTACAATGAATAAGCATTCTAGCGTGTTACATTCTGGGTTGCATGCTAGTTACAACCGTTACAATCCATGGGCAGTCTCGGTATTCCTCTCCACATTACAGTAGACATTCTATCTTACAAAACTCAGGGATGCACGGGATTAATGAGTGCCAAATTGCATGAATATCAAAATGGGGGTTCGAATAGCATAGCGGGCCTAGGATCGGCCAAAAAGCCTATCCCCGTTTTCGACCTCCGTTGTACTTTTTCTGCGTGTCTCCTGTCAAATGCACACACATGTAATCATCATGCTGCGGTGGTTCGACTCCACTCTCACGTGTGTCAACGAACTGTCTTGGCCCCTGTACACGATTGTTTTACAATCAAATAGTTTAATAGTTTTGCAGATAATATATTTTGTTGTGTTTATTTTTGCAGCCATGAGTCATGTGTCGCAGCTGAAGCTTTAAGGTCAATGTAATCAATCAAAGCTCAATGACTACATATCAGAACAACTGTTCATACAGAAGATATTTGTCTTCGGTTTCGAACCTCTTCTCGAGAGCTGGGAATTCATTGCTACACATGGACTTACCGGGAATAATTCTGGCCATATATTTCTTGATATGAATGCGAATTTCTTCATTTTAGGGCTTTTTTTCTTGTGCATAGCATCGTCTGTGTCACGGCGACGGGCCAAGCAAGAATCTGAAAAAATTCTTTTCAAATTCTGCACGTTAAAATTTTATCATGGACTGTGCAGAACATACAATACAATAAACAGTCTTCGTAAAAGGACGAGTATTATATCAGGCTGATTTAATTACAACCATGTCTTTAAACGCAATTTCCATTATAGTGGAATACCCGCCGAGGTAAATACGAGTATTATAGCGGAGTCTGGAGCTGGTTTTGTCAGAGCCGCGTTAAGAGGCACTTGTATTTGTAATGGTTATAAAAAAACTTTAGCTCAGCAGAAATTTCTTTAGCTGTTATTTAAATGTAATTTACGGATCAAATTTGCAGTAAAATTTATTTTTTTGCTACTAGTTAAATGGCGCGGACTATGTTTTGGTTTCGTTTTCAATATAAAGAAATAGAGGCAGATGCAGCTTAGTCGGCGTATACGTGAATCTCAAGTAAGCTATGCCCTGTAGCCCCTGGTTGTTCTAGAGTAGATAAAAAATACGCTTGAATTGCTGCTGACAAAGAAATATAATTAACTAACTCGTGAAATAATAGAAATATAATTGAAAATATTCCAATAGTCGAATGAGAACATAATTACCTTAAATGAAAAATCCGCTTAAGAGGCTGAAGCCAAATAATGCACCGAGTTTAGTTAGTGAGAAGGATTAGACCGGTGAGAGTATAAATTAAAGCATGCGGTTAATAGGAATTAGTAATAGTTGCGGAGAAGCTACTTAAGATCTTAATTCAAATTTACTGGGCCGATCAAGTGAATGCTATGCAAATGAATGGGGATTATGAATGAGAGAAAATTGGCAAGACACGCTGGCAAAACCGGCGGCTGTCAATGCTCGTCTCTACTTCTCTACTAAATTAAAGGTAGAGAGCGACGTAAACTCTTTCTTTACTTCAAGAAAAATGGAAATTTTAAATCTAATTTTTATCATTTGAATTTTCAAGAATCTTTATCAAATAAATGTATAATACATGTCGTCCAATAATATCGTTTTCAATAAAAAAAATATCACCTGTTACCGAGTTAATAGATAGTACATTCGTACAGTGAATATTTTCATACACATCGGTATTTACAGACGATTCATCAGTTTAGCTCGTTATAAGGAAATTAGAAGTGAACAAACTCAATTAAATAGGAAACAAGACCAACTTCACATACCTATTGGTGACACGGAAAAAATATGCCGACTGTAGCCTTGGCATTCAAGTGTACGACTTTTCATTGAAAGTCTCCATCTGTGACGAATTGGCTACACCACAACGTTGTCGCTTAATGTTTTGAATTAGCGAGTCAACGATTATCTCTGTCAACATCCGCTATGAAGCCTCGCTGCCAATTATTTATATGAACGTATAGTGCCCACATAGCATTGGTTCACTCGCTAATGTTTCCAAGTCTCCTCAAAAATTATGAGCTGTCAGAGGCATGTACGAAAAGTTCTTATTGAAGGATTTTAGCAGCTAAGCTACATATGCTTCAACAGCTCTAATATCTGATGTCAGATATGAGCTAATCTTAGTTTCTACTTTGTCATTTTATGTTAACATGAGCGTGTCTCTACAGTCAATGCCACCAACTTTGCCACAACACTTACATATATCGAAACGATCTATTTTGTTGAGAAATCAGGGCCAAAACTTTATAGTGCGACCGGAAAAGCATCTTGGTTATCATGTGGGAACCGAACCCTGAAAACTATAACTCTGACCAGTATTACACGCAGCCGATTTAAAAAAAAAAGAAGCGTTACGTTTCTTCGTCAGTGCTTTGATTAAATCGATCTGAACTAGCCGTACGGAAACTAGAAGCACTGAGATACCAACAACCAGCCGCAGAGACTAGAAGGACTAGCCCTAATAATAACATAGGAAATAAAGCTTTAAAATCGATTAAGCACTGACGAATAAAAATTAGAGAAATTAAAGTTTAATGAGAGCTGGCTGCATAACAAGCGTTTACTTGCAATTATAAGCTGTAAATTTCTCGTCTGCTTAACGATTCAAACTTAAAGATCCGACTGGTCATCGTGGTTCTCGAGACGGCGTCTCCAAATAAATAATGGAATTTTAACGCGAAAGCCTATACATTTCTAAATGACCGAGACGACAACTTTGTGAAAGTTTTCATGGGATAATTTGCAGATGTTAATGCAACTTACGGGGTGTCCAATATAGAAAAGTATTGACAATATTCCACAAGGAAATAAGTACAAATGCAATGTATGAGCGACATTTGACATATGCACAAATTCGTGAGGCAATTTACTTGAGGTTTGGTTTTCTGAATAATTGTGTAACATAAAAAAGAAAAATTATATTACAGAGTTGATGTGGCATATAGTATAATGATAAATTGCATTACAAACATGACTTTCCCAGGCCCAAAACTCGGAAGCGTGTCCGATACTTGTGTCGTTTTCGACAGTTTCCGGATTTATTTCAACATTAAATAGAATTTGTGTTATTACATATGCTTGAATTTTTCTTTTTAATTTTTGCCATTTATTTCAATCGAGAAAGAAGAATTATTTCACAAATCTTTTGATAATAAAAAAAATGAATTTAGGGACGAAAATAGATCAAATTTTTTCGAAGAATGTAGGTAAATTTCAGGCATCATGCAGAGACAGAAAAAGAATTTCAAATACAATAGAATATTTTTGACCTGAGAGCTGGAATAACTCAACTAGAAATTATTATTCTAAGCTTGATAAGACGCCTTTTGAAATGGTTCGCAAATGAAAAGATTTAGCATGGGAAGAATTTTTTAATATAACTCCATATAAAACCACACAACTTTCTAACCGTTCACATGCGGTATCGCACAGACGCAACCGAAATGCACCTGCTGAGCTCGCAGGATTCATGTCTGCAACTATGCTTTTTTCCTTATTTTCCAACTCGACCACTTATTTAACATGACAAACGCAATCAAGTGCCAATTTTTCCACATGAAATTAAGCAATTAATGAAATTATTCATTGTTTGTCTGCTATGCATATTCATGATACAGAATCTAGCTAACTGCTTTGAAGTTTGAATGCTGTTAGGCAAAATTAGTTTAGTTTGGTATATAACCGTTTTTTCTAATATTTCATATTGAATTTCAGTGCTCAGTAGTTTTGGGCCGGTATCAACTTATTTCCGTACATGAAGGCTTAATATAATTGCAATATGTAGTTTAATATTGTTGGCTCGAAATTGTAATTATGGCAATTAGGGTAAAAGGTAAGATGGGTGATTCACTTCTCTCCTGAAATACGCGTAAGTGACCTGCATGCTTATATGTACGCGCCTCACGATATGAGAATATGAAGTGTTGTGCATCCGAAATTGTTTAACTTTGTTTCGTTAATGAACGTATTTCAACTGCTTGCTAATTATCAGAAAGTTTTCAAGTACCCAACATCTGAAAATTGGACTCGCCTATAGCTCTCATATTGGGAGATATTGATAATGGTAATAAAAGTCAAGCGCAGTTCAGAAAAATGCTCCAACATATTTAAAGAAATAATTAAATGAGAAAATTTGATTCAAACGATCTGTTGTTAATCAGTGTCAATGGTTGCGTAAGAAAGTCGTCTGAATAAAGAATTACGTTTGGATCAAGGTTTCGGTAGGGTTTCCGTCTTCCATCAGTTTGAGCAGTAACAGCGAATACATGCGTAGTTCGCATGTGAGGTTACTCTGGAGTTCTTGAAGGTTGAAATTGGTCAGAGGCTGTCCTATTTCAACGTTTTCAAC